GCGTCTGTAGTTAGTTTGGGGACGTCCCCAAACTAACAAAAAGTCCCCAAAACATGCGTTTCTTTCATGAAATGTCCCCATATCATGCGTTCGACATATATATATATATATATATATATATATAGTGACGATGGTAATTTTTGTTTTGAATTTTTAATATTGTAGTTACGATGGTAAATAGGTTTTCCTATTAAGTATTTCATTAACCTAATCATATCTGATAAGGTAGAAATTTTATTGACCAACAGTCAAATTTTTGTATGTACGAAACTCGTACAAATATTTTCGTGCATGGTTTCTGAAAAAAATGGATCGCCTCTCGCTGCTGGGGTATGATCCCAGAACCTTCTTATTGCCGGTAAGATGCTCTACCAATTGAGCTACAGAGAGACCCGATTCCACTCTATTCAGAAATCAATTGGTAGAGCATCTTACCGGCAATAAGAAGGTTCTGGGATCATACCCCAGCAGCGAGAGGCGATCCATTTTTTTCAGAAACCATGCACGAAAATATTTGTACGAGTTTCGTACATACATAAATTTGACTGTTGGTCAATAAAATTTCTACCTTATCAGATATGATTAGGTTAATGAAATACTTAATAGGAAAACCTATTTACCATCGTAACTACAATATTAAAAATTCAAAACAAAAATTACCATCGTCACTAGATATTTTCTAAAGTTCTTAATATTGACGTTGAAAAGTCGTGTGCATGGTTTCTGAATAGAGTGGAATCGGGTCTCTCTGTAGCTCAATTGGTAGAGCATCTTACCGGCAATAAGAAGGTTCTGGGATCATACCCCAGCAGCGAGAGGCGATCCATTTTTTTCAGAAACCATGCACGAAAATATTTGTACGAGTTTCGTACATACATAAATTTGACTGTTGGTCAATAAAATTTCTACCTTATCAGATATGATTAGGTTAATGAAATACTTAATAGGAAAACCTATTTACCATCGTAACTACAATATTAAAAATTCAAAACAAAAATTACCATCGTCACTAGATATTTTCTAAAGTTCTTAATATTGACGTTGAATAGTCGTGTGCATGGTTTCTGAATAGAGTGGAATCGGGTCTCTCTGTAGCTCAATTGGTAGAGCATCTTACCGGCAATAAGAAGGTTCTGGGATCATACCCCAGCAGCGAGAGGCGATCCATTTTTTTCAGAAACCATGCACGAAAATATTTGTACGAGTTTCGTACATACAAAAATTTGACTGTTGGTCAATAAAATTTCTACCTTATCAGATATGATTAGGTTAATGAAATACTTAATAGGAAAACCTATTTACCATCGTAACTATATATATATATATATATATAAAACAAATCCGACGTTTCAAAGTTGAATATTACATTACTTAATGCTAATAATATAATTAATATATTGATACAGATGAGGGGTTTTTTGCCAAACCAAAATATTGTCGAGTTTGAACTTTTCGATTTGGCTCAAATTTTGGTACCCTTCAAAAAAGACTTAATGATTTCTTTCACATTTTTTCATCAACCCGTTAACGAAATATGAATTTATCAAAATTAGTGAATTTTAATTATTTTTTAATTTTTAATGCTTATAACTTCGTTAAAATGTATAAATTACATTTTTTTAAATGTGTGTTTGTAACTCAATTTTTTTAAAATTTCATGTAAAAAATTATAAAATTACAATTACAACACCTATGTAACAACATATTTTAAAGATTATTAATGTAAAACAAGATGTAAATTCAGATGTTCATTACATGAACATTTTGCTTCCTCTTTACGATTAGCAAAAAAATATGCTTCCTCGTGGAGAAAGCATTAACATTGAAATAAACATACAAAAATAATATAATAATATAAACATTTGAGTACCTATAGATTTGAGTTAAATTTAAAGAATTAATGGAAGTTAAAAAATCAAAAATTCACATTTTAGCTGAAATTTCTAAAAATTAATAAAAAATAATATATAATTTTTAATTATTTACAATTATATCGATTCGTTTCAATGCAAGAAACACAATTATTTTATATTTAAACTTGAATTTAAATAAATACAAAATTTTTCATCTAAAATGTGAATTTTTTATTTTTTAACTTTCATTAATTTATTAAATTTACTTTAAATGTAAACTGTATATATATACCAATCGATTCGTTTTCATGCCAAGAACACAATTATTTCATCTATAAACTTAAATTTAAGTAATCACAATATTTTATAGCCAAAATGTGAATTTTTGATTTTTTAACTTTCATTAATTCTTTAAATTTAAATTAAAACTATACTTTATATATACCGATCGATTTATCTTGACGTAAGGAATACGATTTTATTATGTATAACCTTAAAATTTTCTAATTAAAAATTTTTTCGATTAAAAAAAATTTTTGGAAAAAAGACGATAAAAGTTTTTTTTGAAATTTTTTTAAAAATCTTTTGGTCAGTTTTGAGATATTAATATGATAAATAAGCCTACTAAATTTAATCTAAATCCATTAAAACCTGTTGAAGTTATCTTCTAAACAAAAAAGGGATCCACACACACAAATACATACATCCGGACAATTTATTGATCAGGATCTCATATGACATGTTTCTATATAGAGAAAAATTTGTTTCCGCCACTTTGAAAATTTTTATAAACGAAAGGACTACAAAGCTTCCACCACGAGGAAGAAAAAATATATAAAATTATTTTTTATTAAAAAAAAACCTAAGATTTTTCAATTACAAAGTAAAAATTCGAGAAATGTTATAATACGAGACGTTAAAGTTTCGGCTATAAGGACAAAAAACTTTTTTCGGCACTTAAAATTACTCTGTTTCCAAATCCGAGATTCTCCACTTGCACTTATTATTTTAGGGTTCCGTACCCGAAGTGGGAACTCTATTAATGAGACTAGTGAAGCAAGGCATGTACCCCCCCCCTAGCGGCCACACAAATTTATCTAGAGGGCCGAAATTTGGTACACATACATATATATTTTGGCGTGTAAGTAGTATAGGGTGCGTATGGCCCGCCGTTATGGGCGTGGCCTAGTGGCGCCAAACAGTTCATGGAGCGGGGGTGTAGAGGGGGAGCGGGGCCCTAGTCTAGTGGGACTTGTTGGTTGCAGCAGGGGCGGAGGTGCTAGGGGGGAATGGTGATGACGTATATACTGGTGAAAGTAGAATGTGTAGTTTAGGTGGGGGTAAAGTGTTATGGATATTGTAGAGAGAGAGAGAGTCTATGTGTGTGAGAGAGACAGAATATGGGCCGGGGGGCCATAATTTTCCAATGTGTTAGAGAGACAGGTGTATATGAGAACGAGAGAGAAAGAGAATATGGGCGGGGGGTCCATAATTTTCCCATGTGTTAGAGAGAGAAACTTGTTGAGAGTGGGAGAGAGATAGAGAATAAGGGCGGGGGGTCCATAATTTCCCCGTGTGTTAGAGAGAGAAAGATACCCAGGTGTTGGAGAGAGAGAGATGGTAATATATACGAAAGTAAAAAGAGAGACGAGTGGGAGAAGGCTAAGCTTTGCTATAGGTTAGAAAGAGAGGGAAAGGAAGAAGAATGCTACGCATAAGAAAGAGAAACTAAATCATGTATTTTTTTAAGTCCATAATTGAGGACACCGATTCTATAAGGAGACTTACGCTTGAGGCAGCTGCTTTGCGACCAGTCAGGTGGTTCAAAAATGGAAAAAAATAAAATGCAAATTTTTTAAAAACGCTATCCTGTAGGAAATGAAAATCCGCACCTTTTTTTCCTTTGAGATTTTTTTATAAAACGAATATTAAAATTAATAGAGGTAAAAAAGTAGAAAATTTTTTTACGATAATTTAATGGACTTTTAAAACATAACTCGTCGTAATTTTGCCAAATATTAATGTTTTTTTTTGAAATTGGGTGCATTTTATTCAGTTTATACTACTAAAGACGACAATCATAAAAAAAATCAAGAAAATTGTTATTATTTAATATTAAATAATAATAAAGTCTTAATTTTGAAAATATGTGTTTTTCAACCTTCTACTGAAAAAGTTATCGAGGGAATTTTCATTCTGGGAAAACACAAAGATTTACTTTATGAATATTTATTGTACTATCACTTTTCATGGATTCATCTTGCTGTGCCTCAAAGTCATAAAAAATGAAAATTGTGGGTTTTCCAAAAGAATTACTTTCATCGCCGTTATTTTTATTCGGTACATGATCTCGTACCTTCGATATATAACAATCATGGTTGAATTTTTGATCAGTTTTACAAATTTTTCAATAAGAAATGCCACAAATATCATCTTTCTTTCTGTCAAAATTTATTAAATTTGAGCAAGAACAACACATTTGTAAAGCATCACAAACTGATTTGCCAGACTTGTACGAGATAGATTGTAGATGCCGATTGTAACACGCATCTCCATAAAAGTATCGTAAGCACGATTCGCATTTACGATCTTTTGAAATGCGTTCATTATCATTATCATGTGATATTAAACACGGTTGGTTTGCGAAACATGCATCACATACATTCGAACACCTATGATCTGTAAGAGTTTTGTAATCTTTATTGCAAGGTATACGTCCATATTTGACGCATCAGTCGTCAAATTCAATATTGTGTGATAATGATTAATAACACATCACATTTAAAAAAATTGATTAATAGGATTAAAAATGTCTCATTATCAAGATTATTATACATCACAAGTTGGTGGGGGTGATATATCAAAAATTTATGTTGGTTCACCATATCAAAGAGGTCATGGAATTGGGAGTTTTTCGATAGTCTTTTTCGACGTGTTTTACCAATATTTGCTAGGGGTGCAAGGACAGTAGGTAAAGAGGCTTTGCGTGCAGGTATTAATACATTAGATGATGTTGAAAACAATGTACCGTTCAAAGAAGCGATGAAAATGCTTTTTAATGAAAGTCGAGAGAGCTTGAAGAGGAAAGTAACTGAAAAAATTCAGAAAAAATAAAAATTTCTTAGATATTTTTGGAAATAAATAATCATGTCTTTTCTTTATTCTCACTCTTGTGAGTGTTTGAAAACGGAGCTTGACTTGTTTTCTCTGCCACCTACTCAAACCTTAATAGAAAGTTCACAATGGATTCACTATAAACCTATTTCGTCACTTGCAGACGATTCACTCATAGAATTTGTCATCCCCGGCCATGTTGAGGAATACATAGATCTTGCTCATACTATGTTAAGCATTCGTGTTAAATTAATAACACCAACAATTACTTTTCAGAATAGAGAGACTATAGCAAAGATCAGTGTTGTAAATAATTTACTACACTCACTTTTCAATCAAATAGATGTGTATTTCAACCAAAAACTTGTTTCCCCGCCAAATAATGCCTATGCATATAGAGCTTATCTTGAAACTCTATTTAATTACGGTCCTGCTGCGAAAAGAAGTCATTTAAGTACAGCACTATGGTACACAGATGACCATAAAAATATGGAAGATGTAAATCGAGATTCAACAGGATTTGGAGCACGACGAGCTCTTTTACAACCAGATGGGGTTGTAGATATGATTGGTCACTTACATTGTGATGTGTTTAATCAAAACAAGTTTCTTTTGAATGGTGTTGAAATGCGACTCCGACTTGTACGTTCAAAAAATACTTTTACACTTTTAGACCGTACAAAACAGTGTTCCTTACATATCTCAAAAGCGACACTTCTTGTACGACGATCAAAAATTAGTCCTGCCGTTCTTCTTGCTTATACAAAAGCTCTTTCGCATGGTACAGCAAAATATTCCATTACAAGAGTTGAGGTTAAAACATTCATTTTACATAGGGGTGTTCACGCTGAAACTTTAGATGTCATTTTAGGCCAACTACCGAAAAGAGTAATAATTGATTTTGTTGATAATTAAGCATAGAATGGAAATACAGGTTTAAACCCGTTTAATTTAAAAAATTATGACATTAATTTCTTATCCCTTTATATTGATGGTATGCAGATTCCTTCTAAACCTCTACAACCTGATATCAATAAAGAAGGTCTTTATATTGATTGTTATCAAACTTTATTTTCTGGAACCGGAAGACATTTTCTCAACGATGGAAATGATATAGACAGAGCTAGCTATCCTAATGGATTTTGTCTGTTTGCTTTTGCCACCAGATCTGTCGGCAAACTGTTATTCACACTGGAATTTAATAAGAAGCGTCAGCCTTAGAATTGAAGTGCGCTTTAATAATGCTTTAACAGAGACTGTAAACTGTGTTGTTTACGGAGAATACGATAATGTTCTTGAAATAGACTCGACAAGGCAGGTCATTGTTGATTTTGGAGGTTAGATAAACACCATATCTTTCAAGTTTGAGATAACCTTTTTTCATTTTTCTTGGAATCTTTTTATTACTCACTCTCAAACAACAAAATATTATCTAATTTTAAAATCAAAATAAAATAAGAGAAGATTGTGTTAGAAATTCTACTTTTATTTATACATGTATGGATAAGATTGCATTCAGTTTTCTGATAGCATTCACAAGGTGAGGACGTTAAACGTCCACTCTCTATATTTTCTAACAAACAATTGACGGAGTTGTCGAGAAAGAAACATCAACACCCATAACTACCCAGGTAAAATCTAAAGATATTACTCCAGGAGAAAAGGTTGATTCTGCAAAAGATGGACAGCCTACAGATTCTGACTTGTTTACAATAAATTCCAAAACACGTTATTGCAGTTTTCCCAGCGGATCATATACCGACAGTATTAATGCTCCCTTGCGCTATTGTTGTTAATACAGATGGTCACACAAAACCAGGAACTCACTGGATCGCCATACACATCGATCGACATGGCACAGGAACATACTTTGACAGTTATGGCTTACCGCCTTTTGTTCCTCAACATCTTACTTGTCTACGCAGAAACTGTACCTACTACAGATGGAATCCAACACAATTACAAAGTGTCTCTTCAGAAGTGTGTGGTCAGTTTTGTGTTATGTATTTGTATTTTATGTGTCATGGTGGTTCCTTGCTGGTTTTTCCTGAACTTTTTACTAAAGACTTAGTGAAAAACGATTATATTGCTAACCAATTTTATGAAAAATGTAAAAAAAATAGAAAAGATGAAAAAAATTTTTTAAAAAAAATGGCATGGTAAATTACACAGTTTTCAAGGTGTATTCTATTATCACGGCCGAAACACAGAAAATCACCTTGAAAATTGTGTACAAACCTGCACAGCACGTAGTATTAAATAAAACTCTTGAACGTATATTTTATGTGTATGCTTGTGTGTGTATATTGGAAAATTTATCACATTTCACGTCGTCATTGTGTCTTTTGTTTTGACTTGGAGGCTGGCAGTATTATACTTTATATTAATCCTTTTTTTATATTATATTTAATTTTACGAGACGTCGTTTGGTCAGTTTGTCTCACTTTCTCTCTCTCTGTTTTAACATATGTATAACGTAACTATATTTACTTACTTAGTTTAAAATTTTTTTTAACCGAGCGTTTCTTCTTCGTTTCTAAAATTTATTATTAATACATTTAACTAAACAATTATACCAGGAAAAAGTACACTAGTAAAGAATTATTTCGATTATTATGTAAACATATCTTACCTTATAAGTATATATCATTGGCGTTAAGTTAGCTGTATTTTTTTTTCCTACAAAATATAAAATAAAAATGAAGTATATATATATATATTAAATTTTACGTTTTTTATTCTATAACCTTTCCTATATTTTGAAATAATTTAATAATTTTAATAAAGTATTTAATTTTTAATTGTTTTTAGGGTTCCGTACTCGGTTCGGAACCCTATTAATATCGGTTTTTTTGAAATCGTGTACCCCCCCCCCTTAGCGGCCACACGAATTTATCTAGAGGGCTGAAATTTGGTACACATATGTATTTTCGCGTGTAGATTACATGAAAAATATAGCGTACTTGATTCAAATCAATTTACCTAGCGTTGTCAAGGAAAAATCAAAAATTTCGAAGAAAATGATTTATTCTCCCTAGCGCACATAATATTCAACCCAAACTGTTCATATTTGCTGTAAAACAGTATTTTTGCGGGAAAAATACAGGGAAAAAATGTAAGCGCAATTGGAGTTGATGATCAATTTTTATCAAATTTTTGAAGAAAAATGATAAATTTAATAAAAAAATGTATTTTTCCTCAAAAAACGAAAAAAATCGGACGTTCCGTACTCGAAGCGAACTTATTTGGTATAAAAATAAATGTTTAAAAAATATGTGTTGTATGTTAAATAAATTATGTGATACAAAAAGGAACAATTTTATAAAAAAATCTAAGAAAATTGTTCCTCCTTTGGTATAAAAACAAAAAAAAATTTAAATATGTGTTGTATTTCAAATAATATAAGTGATACAAAAAGGAACAATTTTGTAATTAAGAAAATTGTTCCTCTTCGTATCACTTATATTATTTGAAATACAACACATATTTAAATTTTTTTTTGTTTTTATACCAAAGGAGGAACAATTTTCTTAAATTTTTTTAAAAAATTGTTCCTTTTTGTATCACATAATTTATTTAACATACAACACATATTTTTTAAACATTTATTTTTATACCAAATAAGTTCGCTTCGAGTACGGAACCCTCGATTTCAGTGCGAGTGTAACTCGCACTTGTCCGATTTTTTTATATTGAAATATTATTTTATTTTTAAAATTATTTTAGTTATTTTATAATATAATAGAAAAGTATTATTTTCTATTTTTAATATATGTATAGGATTTAAAATCTACATATAGCTTCTCTCTCCTATACATAGCATTCTTCTCTCTTGCTTTTCCTCAAAACACCTTTCCCTCTCTTTCTAACCTATAGCAAAGCTTAGCCTTCTCCCACTCGTCTCTCTTTTTACTTTCGTATATATTACCATCTCTCTCTCTCCAACACCTGGGTATCTTTCTCTCTCTAACACACGGGAAAATTATGGACCCCCCGCCCATATTCTCTATCTCTCTCCCACTCTCAACAAGTTTCTCTCTCTAACACATTGGAAAATTATGGACCCCCCGCCCATATTCTCTTTCTCTCTCGTTCTCATATACACCTCTCTCTTTAACACATGGAAAAATTATGGACCCTTCGCCCATATTCTGACTCTCCCCTGTTGAAAATTCCTATGTGAGAACACATATGGGATCCCATCCAGGATCTCTTGTGAGTTCTTATGTGGGTTCCCGTACAGGTTCACACATAAGATCCTGTATGAAAAGGTTCCTGGGATGAACTTGCGTGAGATCAAGCGCACGATCTTATGTCTCTGTAAAAGCAATAACACAGGATCCCATGAGGTTTCCTGTGTAGGTTCCTATATGAACAACACGATAAATAGGAACACACATGGGATCTTATCCGAGATCTTGTATGAGTTCTTACATAGGTTCTCACATATAAGAAGATTAATAGCAGCTTAATAAGATTTTATAGAATGCTTTTATATATATGCTATTAATCTTCTTATATGTGAGAACCTATGTAAGAACTCATACAAGATCTCGGATAAGATCCCATGTGTGTTCCTATTTATCGTGTTGTTCATATAGGAACCTACACAGGAAACCTCATGGGATCCTGTGTTATTGCTTTTACAGAGACATAAGATCGTGCGCTTGATCTCACGCAAGTTCATCCCAGGAACCTTTTCATACAGGATCTTATGTGTGAACCTGTATGGGAACCCACATAAGAACTCACAAGAGATCCTGGATGGGATCCCATATGTGTTCTCACATAGGAATTTTCAACAGGGTCTCATACTCATAGACTCTCTCTCTCTCTCTCTCTCTCTCTCTCTCTCTCTCTCTCTCTCTCTCTCTCTCTCTCTCTCTCTCTCTCTCTCTCTCTCTCTCTCTCTACAATACCCATAACACCTTACCCCCACCTACACTACACATTCTACCTTCACCAGTATATACGGCATCACCACTCACCCCTTCCACTTCACCCCCGCTGCAACCTACAAGTCCCACTAGACTAGGGCCCCGCTCCCCCTCTACACCCCCGCTCCACGAACTGTCTGGCGCCACTAGGCCACGCCCATAACGGCGGGCCATACGCACCCTATACTACTCGTGTATATTACAGGAAAAATATAGCGAGCACGAATGGAGTTGAAGATCATATTGTTTTTAAGGAAAACTCATATTTTTAGAAATAATCATAGATTTTTCGAACAAAAAAAGAAGAAAATTTTATCTTAAGGGATTCAAATTTATACATTTTTACGTATAGATTACAAAAAAATATAGTGAGCACGATTGAAGTTGATTATCATAGCGTTTTCAAGGAAAAACTGATAATTTTCGATAAAAATCATGAATTCTCCTCAAAAACGAAGAAAATTTTATCTAAAGGGCTTCAAATTTATACATTTTGACGTGTAGATTACAAAAAAATATAGTGAGCCCGATAGGAGTTGATTATCATAGCGTTTTCAAGGAAAAACTGATAATTTTCGATCTATGTGTCTATGTGTTTTCATGCTCACATTACAGGAAAAATTAAGCAAAATTTGAATTTTTCCATCGGCCTTCACACTTTAACCCCCTCTAGGTTTAAGGGTACGGAACCCTTGGTTTTAATGCGAGTGTAACTCGCACTTGTCCGATTTTTTTATTTTTTAAATCCATAATTTCCAAAAAAAAATTTCAATAGAATCGAATACGTGACCGGGTCTGAGAAAACGGTGTTATAGACCAAAAAAAAAATTTTTTTTATGACGGATTTTTACATTTTAAGGTCCTAAAAATAATTTAAACGTGTTTTTCTTAAACAGTTCATTTTGGTCGATAGCACAGTTTTCTCAGACCCGGTCACATATGTTTACTAAATCTTTTAAGATATGATTTAATAACACCTCTCTTTGAAATTGACGATTCAGTTGTTGTTAATAATCTTTTTATTGTTAATAATTCTTTTAATGTACAAAAATCTAAAGAGTAGATTAAAAAAATGAAAATTTAGTATTCGCTAATATTACAGAAATTATGCATATTTTTTAACAATGCACAGACCAAATAAGTTGATAATATTATGTTCATTTCATAAACATTATTGCATCCTCATATGAAAAAATTTATTTCACATGAACAATATATCTGCCCTGAAAGTTAAGTTTGCCGAATCTGATAATACTGTACTTTAGAATACTTAATTCCAATTGTTAAAAAGAAGATTTTGTAAAAAGGCAAACTTTTAATTTTTGAAGATAAAAATATCAAATATATTAAAAATATTGGTGAAATATATATATTTCATATACATGAATCGATTCTTTTTCTTGCAAAGAATACAACCCTGATAAAGTTTATTTAAAATCTTCACGAAAAAAAATTTTATTTCAAAAAGTTCTAAAAACGATATTTCCAGAATTAAGAAAGTTATTAAATTTATAGATTCTAAGTAAAATATAGACTTTATATATAGGGTAATCAATTCGTTTCAAAGCAAGAAATCAGTTTTTTGAAAAATTTCCAATTTAAAAATTTTTTTTTGGTGACATACATATAATTCATACATACACACACATCGGGACATTAGCTTTAAACTTAAAATACATGCATTCTGGATAAAAATGAGCCCATATAAAACATTTACAAAAATCGAAAATCGTTACGAATAGCAAGCTTCCTCATGAAGAAGTAAAACAGAGATAACAAAGTTCACAATATACTATTTCAAAAAATTATTAAAAAGAAATAATATAGGGTCAGTTGGGGTAAATGGGGACAAAATCGCTATTTTTCACAAATTACTTAAGTTTCTTTCTTTAAAAGGTAATTTTTGCGGGTTTATTTTTTATAAGTTGTTATCTCCCTATTGAAAAAAAACACGTATAATAATATGTATAATAATATGTATAATAATACGTATAATTATACGTATAATAATACGTATAATTATATGTATTATTATATGTATTATTATACGTATAATTATACGTATAATAATACGTATAATAATACGTATAATTTTTTTTTTTTTTTCAATAGGGATATATTTTTGTTTATTAATATATACCTAAATATTATAAAATATAGACACGTATAATTATATGTATTATTATATGTATAATTATACGTATAATTATACGTATAATAATACGTATAATTATACGTATAATAATACATATAATAATACATATAATTATACGTATTATTATACGTATAATTATAATTCTATTAAAAATTTAATAATAATTTTATTTTTTCTTTAGTATTAATAAATCATGTGAAAAATAGAATTTCTTTATATTGTTTATTTAAAAAATTTGTCAATTCAAGAAAGGTACAAAGATAACCACAATAATATAATAGTTAATTGCTTTTTTTCGTTTTGTAATTTGTCGAAGAAATTATAATAACAAACAAACATTCAACAGAAGGTTATAGGTTTAACAATTATTTAAACAATTAATTGTTGTTATTTTCTAACTTTTGATACACATAACCTGGCAAGTTGAACATTTTTTCACATTTTTTAGTTAATCAAGCTGAGTAGTATGAAATCGAGATATTATATTATTTTCACAATTTAGTAATTGTTTAAACAACTAATTATTTGTTATTTACTAACTTTTGACACACATCCCTATTGAAAATCCATGTGCAAGATCTTTACTTTAATTAAATTGGTAATAAAATAGATTTGATGATAATAATTTGACAATTAAAGATTTAAAAAATATTAATATTAATAAATCTTCACTTAAAACGTTATTATTTAAATAAAAATTTTAAAACTCTTTTGAATATTTAAACAAAAAAAAGTTTTCAGGTTTTTATTTTATTGAAAGAAAAATTGAATTATATACTTATGTTTATTTAACTTTATTACTAGAGTTAACTTTTTATTTTAATAACGTATATAATTTAAGATAAAAAAATTAAATTTGAAAAGGTGATATTGTATGGACAAATTATAAATTCATTTTGTTCGAAGGATACTCAAATTTTATTTTATTTAGTTTACATTTGGGAGCTCCATTCTCACCAATTACTCTTGATGATCAGTATTCAATCTTCTTTCTGTGAACAAAAGAAGATCATTATTTGAATGATTCGCATGGAGTTCGGTTAAATTTTTTTAAACTTTTTTTTAGATAGATTTTAGCATGTAGAAAAAAAGTTTCCTTTGCAAAAATGTCCTATTAATTATACTTTCTAAGATATTAAACCATAAAGTTTAAATTTAAGTAACATTTTAATTACAAGATAACGTAAAAAAAAGTACAATTAATATTATGAAATACTAAATACAGTGGTACTTATGTTTTTTTGAGTCGATGATTACAAGTTTCAATAATCAAAATGGTCGATCCAATATGGCGGAACAAAAAATTTAAAATGTTGAGCAAAACTCATGAAAATCACTAGTCAGAGGTTTTTGCAATATCAGATCACGAATCCAATGTTAGTTTTTAAGAATTCAAAAGAGTAACTTCAATACATGGTTGACAAAAAAATAATAATTAATTGTACATTTTTTAACGTTATCTTGTAATTCTAATGTTACTTAAATTTAACATTTATGTTTTAATATCTTAGAAAGTATAGTTAATAGGACATTTTTGCAAAGGAAACTTTTTTTCTACATGCTAAAATCTATCTAAAAAAAGTTTTAAAAAATTTAACCAAAAGCAATATTTAATATATTTCCTGCGGGGTCCTTTACGTGCCTTTCTACGATTCAGGCGCTCAATTGATAATTAAATTAATCAAGTACTTTCTGTCGCAATTAGTATATTTTGTTAAGAATTTAAAAATTAAAAAACTTACTTTTGATTGTCTCCGGGTACAATCGTCGCCTCACAGTATTAATATGTTGGCTCAAATGAAACCCCACTTTCCTTACTTCTAATAATTTAGACACATTATTGAAGTTTAGTTTGTCTAAGCGATCTTTGAAACAATCTGAAAACAAATTTTATTAAATTTATTAAAAATTTTTGATTTTTAAAAATTCTGATTATTTTTTAATTCTAGGCCGCAAAAGAAAAAAATTTGAATCCAATTTTGAATTTATGACGAGTTGAACTAAGAATTATTAAAATTTTTAGTTATTAAAAATAAAGTTTTTTGCTTTTATTTTTAAAACAAATTACTCCAACAAAAATAATTTGTTGAGAAAAAAATTGCAAAATTTCATTATTTATAAAAATTTAAAATTAGAAAATCAAAATTCAAAAAAAAAATTTTTAAACATGCGGGTTAAAGTTGAAGTATATGGTTTCACACACATGTCCTTTTAACATCTGGTATTTGAATTAATAAAAATATATGACTAATTATTTTAAAAAGTAGGTTTAATTAATGAAATAAAAATTTTTACTTACTAATCAATACTCTCTTTTTTGGAGAAGATAATTTTCTTCTTGGCGACCTGCCAGGAATTTGTATTAATTCATTATTATCCTTTCTTAAAAACGAGAAGTGTAATCGGCGAACTTCATGCGTAGATACCTTTCCTCATTGGTTTAAATCATAGTCGTGACGTCTGATTTGCTTAAATTCAAATTCGTGAAATCTGATTGGTTTTTAAAGTGGCGACAGGTAAACTGCAGCTAACTTCAAGTGTAGATACCTTTCCTTATTGGTTGATTTTAAATGTTCTTAAAGGAGAGTTCAGAATACGATTCGACGCGTTGATAGCGACGCGTCGGTCTTTAGGGGGAAACAAGGACAAACAATTCGAGAGACAAAGACAGAATGAACGTCGACGCGTCGCTATCAACATTTACTGTTCGTGATTTTACGCCATTTTGATAATTCATATTTGGAAAACGCGAAAAAGTAATATTTATACAGTTCTGTGTCAATAAAGAAACAAATAGTGAAAATTGATATATAGTACTTATAATAATTTGTTTCTTTGAAAAAATTAGTGAAATAGTGATAAATGTGATTATTATTTTTGTGTGTAAAAAAGCAATAAATAGTGAAAAAGTGCATTTACCAATAGTGTTTTGTTTAAATTGTGTAAAAAATCGACAGAACATAATATTTCTACATTTCTGTTCCTGTGAAAAGGAATAGTAAAAAAGGTTAAAATTTTATTGTTTTTAAAAGTGATTAATTAAAAATGTGAAATTGCTAGAGAAGAATGTGCTTTGTTATTGAAAAATTTTTTTGAAGTGTTTGTAATTGTTGTGTTGTGTTAAAATATTTTCTAAAAATAGAATTGTTTCACATGAAATAAAAGTGATGTAAACAGATATAACAAATTTAAGAATTTTAATTAAGATAAATAAATGAAAGTGAGAAATTAAAAATGTGAAATTGCAATATAATTGAATTGTTTGATTATTAAAAAAGTGAAGAATGTATTTTAGTATTGAAATTTTTTTTTGAAGTGTTTATAATTGTTGTGTTGTGTTAAAATATTTTTAAAAAATAAATAGAGCAGTTTCACATAAGATAAAAAGATAAAATCAGATATGACAGATTTAAGAATTTAATACACAGAATTCAAATACACAGATATCATAAAATTAAAGTATATAATATCATTTAATCGTATTGATAGATATCTTTACATTATTGATACATTATATGGAGCAGTTTCACATAAGATAAAAAGATAAAAACAAATGACAGATTTAAGAATTTAATACACAGAATTCAAATACACAGATATCATAAAATTAAAGTATATAATATCATTTAATCGTATTGATAGATATCTTTACATTATTGATACATTATATGGAGCAGTTTCACATAAGATAAAAAGATAAAAACAGATATGACAGATATACACAGACAAATACACAGATATCATAAAATTTAAAAATATATATATTAAATCGTATTGATAGATATCTACATTATTTATACATTATATCTTTACATTAGCTACAAAATATCTTGCAAATATATCAAACTTTTCAGTTAAAACGCATGAGATTCTTTGTTTTATAAGCTTGAAAACAAAGTGTTTACATTTTCTATAAATTTGTAATAGGTTATAAATTTTATGGAATGTAAATTAAATTTTCCAATCTAATCATGCCAAAAAGACGTGCAGTACGTTCTCCTTCGGAAGAAGAACAATACCAACTTTTAAAACTTCAAAGAAAAGCAGATTCTCAAAGAAGATACCGTCAAAAAGTAAATGATAATGTTAAAAATATTTCAAATAATTCTAATAATAATGTTCGTATAGAAGTCGATAGTATGCCTTCAACATCATTAAGCATTGATAATGTTGTATCTGTTGCATCAAGTACATTAAAAAAAATAAAAGTCGACAGCTTTTATGAAAAGAGTGATGTTAAACATAAAGAATTGGATTCAAACAGCGATCCATGTACAGATCAATTTGTAAATATTCTTTCTCAAAGCTTGCCTTCAACTTCATCAAGCACTGAGAATTATGTGTCCATTGCATCAAATGAAATGAGAAATAAAAATGTTGATTACACTGTTCAAGAAAGACAGTCATATCATTTTAAAAAAGCTGATTATCAACGCAATTATCGAAAAAGGAAACGGAATTTTTCTCAGATTGAAAACCTGTGTAATAATTGTACAGATACAGTTATAGAGGAACATTATTCTGGTGAAATGAACATTTTATGTAAGCATTGTAATGCTAAGCATTTTAAAGCAGAGCAAGTGCCCAATAAAAAAAATTCTTTTAATGATTGTTGTAAGCATGGTAAAGTTATTCTGGAAGATTTACCTAAGCCACCATTAATATTGCAGAGTTTATTTGACGGAACGCATGAACTATCAAATCATTTTCATGAACGTGTTCGATGTTATAATAATTCATTTGCATTTGCATCCTTTAATGCAAATTTAGTTGATTTTAATAATACACGTCCTGGACCTTATTGTTTTAAAATACATGGTCAGGTTTATTATCAAATGAATACATCTATATATGCTGAAGATAACAGCAATCCTTCATTTGGACAATTATTTATCGTGGATCAAAACGAATCCACAGACATTCGATGTAATCAATTTCAGACATTAAACCGAGATATTATTAATGCAATTGACACTGCTCTTCGGGATTGTAATATCTTCGTACAATCTTACCGTATGATGCATGAAGAAATGGAAAAATCAATGACTGAAAATAACCTAACCATTGAGCCTGAGATGCAATTATTATTTACATTGAAACCTGGGATGGATAGTAGACGATACAATATACAAAAAGTCAATGAAGTTGCTGCAATTTTTACTACAACTGCAGATGGTGATATTCCAGAATCATACGTCACTTTGTATAATAAGAGAAATAAAAATTTACAATATGTAAGTTCTATGAACCCTAATGTTGAGCCATGGATATATCCATTATTTTATCCATATGGTACGAGAGGTTGGGATGAAAATATGACTTGTGTTAACTCTAATAAACGAGTTTCACGGTCTGCATACATCAAGTTTAAAATAGCGTCTAGAGATGACAATGTTATTTTAAAATGTGGACGATTATTTCAGCAATGGATTGTTGATAATTATGTGAAAGTTGAAAAAGATAGGACAAATTTCTGTCGAAATAATCAATCAACTCTCCGTGCCGAAAGTTACAAAGGGCTAATTGATCATTTACAAAGAAGGGCAGATGAGTCGAACAGTGAGGTAGGTAAAATTGTAATTCTTCCATCATCATTCACAGGTTCACCAAGAAATATGTTACAAAATTATCAGGATGCGATGGCTATTGTGAGAAAATTTGGGAAACCAGATCTATTTATTACGATGACATGTAATCCAAATTGGCGTGAGATACAGGAAAATTTACTACCTCATCAAACTGCAGCTGACAGACCAGATATTGTTTCTAGAGTTTTTAACATAAAGAAAAATGAAGTGATTAATGTAATTGTAAAGGAGAAATTATTTGGTGAAATACTTGCATATGTGTATGTTGTTGAGTATCAAAAGCGTGGATTGCCTCATATGCATTTATTAGTAAACTTAAAGCAAAACAATAAAATAACCACATCAGAGATTGTTGACAAATATATTTCTGCAGAAATTCCAGATCCATCGGAAAATCCTGTACTTCATGATATTGTTATGAGAAACATGATTCATGGTCCATGTGGGAGCTGGTGTAAAGATGAAAATGGTAAATGTTCAAAAAGTTTTCCAAAGAAATTCTGCTCAGAAACAATAATGGATGAAAATGGATATCCGTCGTACCGTCGTCGCAATAACGGAACTTTTAATCGTCCAAATAGAGGAACAGCAGATAATCAGTACGTTGTCCCATACAACCCTACATTATTACAATTATTTAATTTCCATATTAATGTAGAAGTTGTTTCTAGCATTAAATCAGTAAAATATCTGTATAAATATATTTATAAGGGGCATGATGCTGCTGCTATTGAAATAACAGATAGTGCCAATAGTGCAACTTCTATAGAATGTGATGAAATTTGAAATTTCATTGAAACTCGATATGTAAGTCCCGTTGAAGCGTGTGACAGAATTTTTGGAAGACCAATACAGAATAAAAGTCATTCTGTTACCCGATTACCTGTTCATTTACCCAATGAACATATCGTTACTTACTTCATTAACTTTAACATTATTTTCGATGTGTCCTTTTCTTCAACTAAAAAGCAACGTGTCCTCTTTTTCAAAGAAAATTCGACGTGTCCTTTTTTTCCACTTACCAAGCGAATATTTACTTTTATATGAGGGTTTATTTTTATTACTCAATTATTATATATAATTCAAATCCTTAACTGTTCACTTCATAGTTAAGTATTTTTCTTTCAAGCAATTGTCAATTGTACTTTTCTTTATTTTTACAATACTTTCATTATATCGACATATTTTGAAATTATCAAAAATGAAGGAACTACAATATAATAAATAACAACTTCAGATTAAACTATAAACCTAACTAATATTAATGTAGGAAATAATTAATTAATCGTAAAGAAAGTACAAAAAATCCGCGCGCTGTAGCGCGCGGTCGGTCTCGTTTTCTAAATATGAATTAGCAAGTATGTGGTCCTTAAACATACTTGTTGCCAAATATTTAATAAATTTACTATTGTCTTTTTGGACAGATATTAAGTCCCAGGCCATTTCTGATACGTAGTATCCGTCCCCTAGATGTATTGATTTGATCTAAAAAATGAACGCATACTAGATATATTGAAAATGCTTTAAGAATATTCTTACATGTCTACATTTATTATTAATAATAATAAAAATTTAATTGGTTAAATTCCAATCTTTTTCTTTAGTTATACACACGTCAGGATTTTTTTCTAACCTCCAAAAACCTGTCGGATTTTGAGAGGTAGGCTATTTTTTTAAAAAATTGATGGATTTACTTCAAAATTGGTATCTAGGGGTTTTTTGGGTCGCTGATGAAGAATTTGAAGTTAGATTTTCAAAATTCAAAATGGCGGCTCCAATATGGCGGACGAATTTTGTAAAATTGATGGATTTACTTCAAACTTGGTATCTAGGGGTTTTTTGGGTCGCTGATTATTAATCTAAAGTCAGATTTTCAAAATTTAAAATGGCGGCTCCAATATGGTGGACGATATCGACCCTTCAAAGGTGATAATTCCGCCCTTACACACGAAACTAGGAGCAATTAAACAGTTTGTCAAAGCCTTAGATAAAAAAGGAAACTGTTTCAAATATCTGGAACAAAAGTTTCCAGAAATCTCTGATGCGAAACTAAAAGAAGGGGTATTCGACGGACCACGTATTCGCAAATTGTTAAAAGATGAGCAATTTATCACCAATATGAATAAAAAGGAGAAAGCCGCATGGCTTAGTTTCAAAGCAGTTGTCGGAAATTTTCTGGGTAATCACAAGAGTGAAAATTGGGAGCAAATAGTTAGTGATATGATTAAAGACTTTGGTAAGTTAGGATGCTTAATGAGCATAAAGTTGCATTACTTAGACTCGCATCGGGATCAATTCCCTGAAAATTTGGGAGATTACAGTGAAGAACAATGAGAACGATTCCATCAAGATCTGAAAGAATTTGAGCGTCGTTATCAAAGAAGATGGGATGTAAATATGATGGCCGACTACTGTTGGATGCTGAAAAGGGATATTGTACCTGGAGGCACCAATTTGAAAAGAAAACCATTACACAGATCCTTTGAGGACAAAAGAGTGCGCTACCATAAAAAGACGTAAATACCTTACTTATGTATATAAGAATTTCCATTTTGAATTTTGAAAATCTAACTTCAGATTCGTAATCAGCGACCCAAAAACCCCTAGATACCAAGTTTGAAGTAAATCCATCAATTTTTACAAAATTCGTCCGCCATATTGGAGCCGCCATTTTGAATTTTGAAAATCTAACTTCAAATTCGTCATCAGCGACCCAAAAAACCCCTAGATACCAATTTTGAAGTAAATCCATCAATTTTTAAAAAAAATAGCCTACCTCTCAAAATCTGACAGGTTTTTGGAGGTTAGAAAAAAATCCTGACGTGATGGAGCAAAACGGACTTCGGATTCGTGTTCAGCGCGTCAAAATACATGGGAAATGACTAGTCTGGTCTGCCGCGCACGACACTTTTTTTTTTGTGGGGCTGTGTTATTAATCTTGTAATTTTTTAACCATGTCTTATTTAGGTATACGTCAGAATGAAAATTTTTATACACATGGAATATTAAAACTCACCCTGACTGGAAATATTTTATCTCATTTATAACAATTGATTATTATTAACTAAAACCTTTTTGTGCAAAATTAAGAAAAAATACACTTTCTTAGATTTCTTTTGTCAAAAGTTTGTTAGTAACAACAATCATTTATTTAAGTATTGATGAATTATTAATATCATAAAATACCCTCACCTTTCCCTACGTAGTTTATTTAAATTTAAAATGAGAAAAATGTACATTTTTCAGGATGCCATGTGTCAACAATTTATGTATAACAATAATCGATTGTTAAAGTAAAAAATAGATTAATTATATACTATACATATTTTAAATTGCAAAATAAAAAAAAAGTTTTTTAAAACGCTTTTTGTCAAAGATGAATAAATAACAACCATTATTTGTTTAAACAATTGCTTGATTGTTTCAATCAACAAAAATATCTTAATCTCATTCGTACTCACCTTTTAAATTGCTAAATTACGAAAAAATATACTCTTTCTATTTTCTTTGTCAAAAGTTTGTGAGTAACAACAATTATTTATTGAAACAATTGCTGAATTGTCAAAATAAAAAATGTTTTTAATCTCATTCTACTCACCTTGTAAAATTGCAAAATTGAAAAAAATTTACTGTTCTAGTTGTTTTTTGTCAAGTGTTTGTAAATAATAATTATTTGTTTAAAAAATTGTTGAATTATTAAAACCATCAAATATATTTATGTAATACCAAACAGCTTACTTAACTGCAAAATGAGAGAAAAATCTGCAACTTTCTAGGTGCTGTACGTCAAAAGTAAGTAAACGTGAACAATTATTTGTTTAAACAATTGCTAAATTTTTGAAATAGAAAAATATTTTAATTTCATACTGATGACCTTATAAAATTAAAAAATATAAGAAAAATTTTTTTTTCTCATAATCTTGTAAATAACAAAAATTATTTGTTTAAACAATTGTTGAATTGTTAAAATGAAAAAATATATAAATGACATTCTTCTTACCTTATAAAACTACAAAGTTGAAAAAAGTAAACTTTCCTACAATTTTTTTTGAAAAAAGTTTGTAAATAACAATAATGAAATGTTTAAACAATTACTGAATTGTAAAGTTTAATAAATATCTTTATGTTACATTACTCATTGTCAGTTTATGTAACCGCAAAATGAGAAAAAATTTACATCTTTCAAGGAACTGTGTATCAAAAGATAGTAAATATGAACAATTATTTATTTAAACAATTATTGAATTGTCATAATCATAAAATTGTTTAATTTCATACTACTTACACTGCAAAATTGAAATATTAAAAAAAATTTTTTGAATAATTTTTTATTAAAACTTAGTAAATAACAACAATAATTTGTTTAAACATTTGGAAAATATATGATTTCACATGAAGTAATAATTTATTATTAAAATTAAGTTAATAAATTGCAATAATAAGAAAAAACTACCTTCTTAAAAGTACACTGAAAAGAGAACTAATAGTTGAAAATTATTAATTGTCTTAATAAATATACAGTAAGGAATAAAAAATTTTATGGATAAACAACATAAAAAATGTTTCTCTTTACATTAATGATTAATATTTAAGAAATAAATAAAATTTTAATAAAATTTTTAATAGAAATAAAAAACACGTGTATTTATACATCTAAATCTTGTTTCAAATTCGTATGTAAGATAATACGTGTATTTACACGTGTAAATACACGTGTAAATACACGTATAAATACACGTGTTTTTACACGTGTTTTTTTTCAATAGGGACTGTCCAAAATGTTAATGAGTAGCTCATAAAAGTTGTGGGGACGCCAAAATTAAAAAAGTTATAAACATATTTAAAAAAAATCTAGTCAGGGTTGGACTTTTCAGTCAGGGTTGGACACTTTTTGAAAATCGAAACGCATTATTGGTAAAAACGTAAAATAACATTTATAATGTTTTTTATTCTTATTTTTTCATGTTTATCTTTACTTATTGTTTACAAATTGTAAAGCTTCATGGGTTTAAAAAAGGAATGAACTCAAATTACAAAAAATAACACTTTATTGTTCTAAATAACTCAATGAAATGATGAACAAAATTTATACAATTTAAGTATTATTTTTCTAATATCTTTGGCACAATTTTGCACTGAAATATCAATAAAATAAAATAAAAATATTAATAATTAAAATAATATAAGGAACAAAAAACGAAAAGAAAACAAAAAAATATATTTTTGTGTAATTCAACCGCCAGTGATTGGATATACTTATATTCATCTTATTAACTATTGAAAAAAATATAGAAGTTAATCAGAATTGCAGTTCTTGCAAATGAAGTAACTCGTCCTCATCTTTGTACACTTCAAATGCACCTCTCTCTTGCATTCAGTACAAGCAGCAGAGTTGTTGCGATTCAAATGAAGTGTCATTGTTTCTAAACAGATTATACAAAAATCCAAATCTTCTTCTAAATATGTCATTGACTGTATTTTATTAGGTGGTTGAAAATCCGCATCTTTATCAAAAGGGACCTTGTTTTTGGCTTGTTTGGGTGGTCTACCTCGTTTGGCTGGTTTTTTAGTGGTTTCCTCCATTAAAAATTGTGCTGATCTCTCTTTAGACTTTTTTGAAATGTCATTTGACGGTCGAAAATACTCATCTTTCTCAGTAATAGCTTCTTTTTGGGCTTGTTAGGGCGGTCTACCTCGTTTGGCTGGTTTTTTAGTGTTTTCCTCCATTGGCGTTTGTGCTGATCTCTTATTAGAATTTTTTGGAGTGTTTTTCTGTTGTTGCTTCT